AACGAGGATCGAGGACTACACTCCCTGAAGAGTAGTCCTGCATACATAGATGAAAATACTTTGTTGTGCCCCTTTTCTTGCTCTCTGTTGCAGCAAATCAGAAATCAACAGCCTTCTGGAGCTTCGCACAACATTCCGGGATTAATTGCAAACAGAGACGAATCGGGGCATCGCAATGGATTTCCGCACCAGACAACTCAAGCATCCATCTTTCATCATTCGGAACAGAGCCGAGGCGGTCCATAGCTTGCATGCTAATTTACTTGCTTTCCTAGTTAAACTGTTAATTAGGGTTTTGTACTTATTCGGACTGTAAGTATTATTCGGACTGTATTATTTATTCGGACCCTCCGAGCGATGGCACAATTGTAATAAGTGTGCGTGCGTGTGATGTATGTCTTCCAACCCTACGTCTTTCTCCCTTTTATTTACCCGCTTATGATGGTTAGATTAGGGCATGTTTCAATTAGCGTACAATATGATAGCCTGTTTGCATTCATTCATCTGTTTTGCATGCACCGGGCTCGGCGCATCATACTAACTGCATTTGTATTTCAATTCCGAGTTGAATACTTGTTAGCTGTAGCATCATCATATGCCATCTTAGAATAGCCGAGTCTACTATAGTTGCATTTTACATGTGTTGCATTAGGCATTCATGTATAGTTAAGATCATGCATTGATTTCTAACCTAGTTTCTGTTTTGGCTCGAAGTACTAGGTAAGTTTTATGTTTTAGTATCCTTGCATGCGTGTGAGTGACTGCCATGATAGCATGCTTACCATGAGGTTATTTGCTTATGTGATATACCTGCCTGAATGCCTCTGGGTGAAGGTTGGGTTATTTGGATTCCAACAATTCATCAATTGTGAGTTTTAAGCCCACTTGAGAGTGGCAAATCATCATGTTTTCTAAGCCCACCCGATGGTGGCAAAATCTGCATTTTAAGCCTACTTGCGAGTAGCAAACCGCTTTCAAAAATAAACATGAAAGGTTTTATTCCAATTCAGTCGATCCGGTCTATACTTGTATGCTGTGCACATCACGTAGTAAATCTAGGCTAATAATCGGAATAAGAGCACATAATATTTTCAAAACTAGATATCATGGTTAGTAGAGACCGATCTTTGATCGGGCGAGTGGGGGTGCTCACGAAGTGACCTTCCCCAATCGTACCCAAGTTCCCGAGCCGAGACAACTTTGGTGATGACGGACACGTGGCCTTAGGCAATGAGTCAAGGTTTCCTAAATTTTCCAAAATAAAATATTTAGGTGGCGACTCTGTATCTGGCAAAGCAGTCTATGTTTGCACTTCTTTCAAAAAAAATATGTTTTCAAAAATGATTTGGCGGATTTGGACTCTTTGATGATTCATCGGTCTTGCATTACACTCTGTGAGATTAGATACAGGACCATGACTTTGAGTACTGAACTGTAGTGAGCCCAATGAACAAAACGGGATTTCCCTCACAGGACGTTCGGGAACGTCTACAATCTCCCTACAATAAACATCGGTCTTGCATTACACTCTGTGAGATTAGATACAGGACCATGACTTTGAGTACTGAACTGTAGTGAGCCCAATGAACAAAACGGGATTTCCCTCCCGGGACGTTCGGGGACGTCTACAATGTCCCTACAATAAAATTATATTAATTTAATTTATTTTTATTTTTATTGTATTTTTTTATAAATGATTTTCACATCAAGATCTAAGAGATAAATAAATCGATTTATTCGAGTGAAACTCGTAGTGAGACTGCAAGTCTAAACGTGAAAAGAGTAGATTAAAATAAAGTCCTAGAGATGATACCTTTGTATAGACTCATTTTCACAAGCCTAAAGTCCTGAGGTTTGGCTTATCAGACTTGCATACTTGGAGTCCAATTAAACCAAGCAAATTACACCTTTATTCCATTGCCTTTAAGTCATGATGATTCGATTCCATATTTAATTTCTTTAAAATAAATAAATAATTAAAAAATCAAAACTTAGTTTAAAACTTCAAATCTTTGAGATTATGGACAAATGAGGGGATTTGCCAATGAAGTGGACAGAATCAATGTTTCTAATCTTTCAAACTTAAAATATATGTCATCATATCTTCTTTGTTTAATCTAATCTTCTATTTAATCCTCTGACAAAGCATATGTAGTTGGTACTTGGTACACCCTGTTGATTTGAATGGATTGTGTTCTATATCTTTTCTCATTTAAAATGAGATTGTGTTATGATTTTGGATCCAAAATTGAGGTTATATATATACACATATGTCGATAATGCTGAAATTTGAAATTTCTTTATATGATTCATTCGTGGAGCCCTGTTTATAAAGGGAGAACATGTAACATATAACATTAATCAATTTTTATATATGAATAAGATTTTTCATATAATATTTTGATGTGCTTGGTCTATTGTGAAATAAGCTTTGGACAACAATTTGAACACAATAAATGGAATGTTTCTAATAACAAAATAATAAAGAGAAACAATAAAAAAATCACAAAGAACATAAGATCAATTTCTTTGTCGTTCTTTTTGTTTTCCGCGAGTGTTCACCCTGATCTTATAAATTGGCATGGTGACTTTGGAAGTTTCAAAATAGACCATTTAAATCATTAACTTCATTAGAATTTTCAAATTTAAACTAGATACTACGATGTCGTTTTATAATATTTGCAATCTATTATTTTGTGTTGTGCTTAGGATATGACCATCCACATTGGTAACATATCTTCTTTTAGATCTTTTAATCATTCTAAAGAAACGAATTAAACTACTTGGTTTTAAATATAAAAAATATTAAAATGTACTTCTTCCTTTTTTTAGTGAATTTTTTTTAAAAAAAATTCACAAATATTTTAGTTTTTAAGTATATCTAAGTTGGGTGTATCTAAAAATAAAAAATTAACATTAATAAAAATATCTTAAAAATTCACTAAAAGACAAAAATATTTATAAAAAAAAAATTAAAATAGTATTTAAAAATTCAAAATCGAATGAATGTTAAAATCCACCGTAGTGCAGTACAAGCAAAGGAAAAGAAATTTAGCAGCGAACCACCTTTCCTCCGCAATGGTTCGGTTCGGTCGATATTGAAGCTAAATTTAGAACCGAATCGATTCTTTTGGTTTTGATGGTTGGAAAACCAATACAAACCATATATTATGGTTTATTATTATTGGTTTTATGTAAAAGAGGGATTTGCTTGAAATTTTTTAAAAAAATTTAAAATCTTGTAGATTTTTAGGTTAAAAATAAATGAAAAAATATATATGAAAATTGCTCTGTAAAATATTTTTGCCTCCCTGGTTTTTATTACAAAAATGTATTATATTAGTCACTTATTATATAATACTTAAAAATTAATATACAAAAGTATGCAAATATAACATTCGGTGATTCAGTTTGCATTGGCATAAAAAAATTTAAAACTGAAATAGGTCTTATATTCGAAAAATAGCTTGAAAACTAAAATTTTGATTGATTTCGATTAATCAATTCGATTCCATCGATTTTTCTTACACCCGTACGAAAGCTATTAATCACAGCTTTTTAGATCAACTAATATTATTAACAAGTGTCCTAAAAGTATTGATTAATAAAAAAATTTAAAATAATTATACAATTTTTATCGCATTTACTTATATAAAGAATGTACAATTAATTTAAGTTATTTGTTAGGTCTTGCTAACACGTGTTCTTCAGGCCCAAAAAAAAAAAAACTGTGTGAATAACACAAAATGCTTTTTTACAGAAAATAAATTTAAAAATTAAAGTTCAAATTGATAAATTTCAATTTTCAAATTTATTTCGTTACTACGACCAAATTCTGAAATTTTTTGTAAGAATTTTTCATTCATGTACTGTGTCTGTCTGTGTCTTGAAGAAAAAGTATAGTATTGGAATACTAAAGCCAAGTTTGGGAAGTCTTAAAAACGTTAAAAAGTTACTCAAAAAGTTAAAAAGTTATCACTATTCACCAAAAGTCAACAATTACGGTTACACAACTCCTAATACTAATTTTTCTCTACACATTAATTTATACAATTTTTTAATACACATTTTTTCATAAAAAGTCAAAAAGTTAACCCAAACATTCATATTTTCAACCTCAACTTTTTGGTCTAAAAAGACAAAAAGTACACTTATTTAGGACATTCCAAATAATCCCTAAATGACTGCTCAAGAAAAGTAAACGAGAGTTAATGGAAGGCACAACAACCTTAGGCATGTTTTAATCACAATTTACAGAATTAAATACTGGTATATAGCATACAGTCATACAGTTTAATCTCTGATATTTAAATTGTGTTAATTTAGTTCCAAATGTTTTAAAACGGTTCCAATTTGGTTCCCCAAATTAATTCTATCAATAAACACAGTTGAAGTCAAAGATAAATATAAAAATTTACTTAAAAATTATACTGTCTAAAATATATGTATTATGTATCATTTTGTATCAAATTTTTATACATAAGAAATTAAATTGACACAAATTACACACTGATGACCAAAATGACACAACTTGCATATTTTTAGACTAAAAGTAATTTTTTTTTAAAGTGAGTTTTCACATTCACTCTTGACTTTAATGGCGTCTGTTGAAAAAATTAGGTTGTGAGATCAAATTAAAACATTTTTTATATATTAGAAATTAAATTAACATAATTTAAATATTTATGACCAAAATAACACAAATTGTATTTTTGATGGATTAAAAATATAATTTACTTTGATGTTCAATTACAAAGTGCAATTATCACATCATTGTGACTGTATAAAAGTTATCTATGAATGATATTTTCCATACTGTATATCCAGCTGTCCTTGGGGTATAGAATTCATCTCAACAGCACCATAGACACAAAAACACACACGCAGAAAATTAATTGATCATCCAATCCATATATCACTCAAATTTAGGGTCACATAAACTTGTATCAAATACTACACAAACCAGAATTTTTTTTTTTTTTTTTGGTATGTAGAGATGTGATAATCAACTTATGAAAACTATAGAAATTCGATTACACATTTCCCCGACAGATTGTTTACAGATTTATAAATCTCTCAAAACCCAAAGCTAGCAAACTGGTAAGCATTTGAACATCTGGATCTTCCATGAAGAGTTCAGATTCAGATATTAAATATAGAGAAGCTGTTACACAAAAAAGATTACAGAATCAATATGCTTAACACATACGTTCCAACCCCAAACCAACCAAGTTCAGAAAAGTTGGCCAATTTTTAACATTCTCCAGACTCAGAAAACTGAGAGAAAACATGAATCGGCCAGAAAATATGTCGCAGAATCACCCTGACTCCAAACACCAAGCTACTTCCAGATTTATGTCAAGGATCGGTTACAACATTGTTCAACTTTTGTTGCAGCTCAGAGTGATTGAAGCACTTCAGATCTGTCGCCTATATGAGGTAAACTACATATATCAATTAAAGATGTTTCCTTTCTTCATTTGTATCTATACTATATATTAAGTAAAATGGGTTTTTTAATTTCAAGCCTTATAGGAACTCCAATCTCTCAATCTAAATTTCTTGATTTTTTTATTTAAAAAAAATTTTTTTAGCATTTATTAACTTCTCCTAACCCCCAAGTCTTACCCTCATAATAATACTTTAATGCATTAAGAACAAGTATAAAAAAAATTCTTTGAAATCCAACACATAAATTCCTTGAAAAGTTCCAACACATATGATTATTATCCCTCATAATAACACTTTAATGCATTAAGAATAAGCATAAAAAAAATTCTTGAAAAGTCTAACACATATGATTATTATCAAAATATTAAACTTTAATATAATATAATAAAAAAAGAAGACATTTAATTTCTTGAAAAGTCTAACACATATGATTATTATCAAAATATTAAACTTTAATATAATATAAAAAATGAAAAAAAAAGAAGACATTTAAAAGGAAAAAAAAAAGACATTTAAAAATCGCAATTCACATATATAGATAATTGTAAATATATTAAGGAAAATAAGGTTTCTAAACCCCAAACCTTGTGAGAGCTCCAATCTCTCAATCTTAATTTTCTAAATTTTTTATTTAAAAAAAAAACCTCAACATTTATTGATTTGGTCAAAATCCCCTAATCACCATTTATTAACTTTTTCCAATCCACATGCCTGCATTTAATGATTTGGTCAAAATACCTGATTAGCATTTAAAATCCCCTCATACAAATAATTGTAGATACAGCCCGTGCATAGTTACTGCAGTAGCCTTTTTAATTTCTCTTGTTATATATATATTTTTTAATCACACATTTTAATTAAAATGTGATTATTTAAATATATATATATATATATATATTGATCAGCAAAGAAAACTTTATTAATTATTACAATAAAGAATTAACACTATATTTGAAAATTTAGGAGAAAAAAGAAAAGAAATAATTATTTAAGTTATAAGGGGGAAAAAAATGATTGTGATTTATCTTATTCTTATTTGGATAAATAAAAAATAAAATAAAATAAAATAAATGATTGTAATTTATCTTCTTCTTATTTGGTTAGATTTCATAAGAAAAAAGAAAAGAAATTATTTTATGTTATATTATCAAAATAACCTTTTATATTTTTAAGCATTTTATTTCTTTTATTTTATAGGGACAAAATTGGTATTATGAAAATATTGGTTTCTTTTTTCTCCCAATCTCTTCACTTTTAGGAAAATTGAAAATGAGAGGTATAAAAGAAATGAGATTATATCCGTTTCTTTTAATTTCTCCCCATTTCTCTCCACTTAAATTATCCGAATAAGTAAAAAAAATACATATCTCTCTATTTCTTTTCTTTTCTCTCCAAATCACTCATAGTTTCAAATAAGGTTGGCACTAGCAAGAGAGGCTCAAACAAATGCAAGCTCATAATTTCAAATAATACCCTAAACTTTTCAATCAATAAATTATTGGATAATGTTTGGTGGCCACAAATTCTGTGGCTCAAATAGCCCAAAAATGTCAAAACAACATCGTTCTGACATTTTTAGAGTCGTTTTGTATCCAAAACGACGTCGTTTTGACATTTTCGAGTCATTTAAGCTACAAAATTTGTGGTCACCAATCATTACCCTAAATTATTTGAGTAAAGATCATAGTTTCAAATAACAGTCTTAAGATGGGTATCATTATAATGACATATCAGCCCATGTCGTTTAATATTGGCCGATATGTAGATAAATATCAATATTAGTCCAATATTTTGTCTAATATTTATAATTTATTGGAATTTTCAAAAAACAATCAGAGTTATGAAAATTTTAAAATTTTAATTATTAATATTTTTAAAATTTATTACTCATTTGTAATTATTTTTTAAAAATATCACTGATTTAATATTTTTCCCATTTAAAACACTTAGTATGAATGCGTACCTCACACTGGATGGTATGTAGTAATTTGTCATTTGCTTTGGTGGAAACACAAGTAACAACATTAAGTCCTTCTTCGAGCAGAAATTCCATTACTCTTGACAGCTGCAATTTTTCTTCATCGAAGCCACAACTGAACACAATTTTCACTCCTCCCAAACAAGGGCCTACTGTAAAGTAACTTGAGCTTCCATCCTCAGGATTTGAAGATTTCTTCAGCTCATCTCTCTTGTGATCTAATTCTTGGATATTCTTTTCCAAAGTTTTTATATAATTCACTGCCTCTTCAATGTGATCTGAAGTTGAACGCTTACCCTAAAATCAAAACCCCAATCCTACGCTCATAAAAATGTACCCTAGCTTTTATAACTCCAGAGAGAGAAACTGAATATTTGTACATTAAACTAATACAGAATGATATTGCCTTTCTGTCTTTTCATTTCAAGCCAAAACATCGCTCACTGTCGCCCTGAATTGCGAAAATACTGCTTTCACATCATTGTGTATGAATTTTGTGTACAAAAAAATTGTTTGTAAATTATTTTCCTTTGTGGGATAGATATTTAGGGCTAGCCATTGCTTGCATAATCACAGGAAAGTGACGAAACCTAGTAAATTTTACACGTGTACACACACACACACACACATATATAGAGAGAGAGAGAGAGTGAGTAAGAGAGAGAGACAGAGATCACCTTGATGTATTCAAGTGGCAGCTCAGATCGAAGGGAAGCACAAAGAGTATTCATTTCGCGTCTTCTTTTCCTTTCGGTGTCGCTACGTTTGATCTTCTTATCTTTATCCATAACACTAGTACTTGTATGATCATAGCTCAAGTGGTTGGTAGTAGAATTATTAATTCTTTCAAGTTCAAGAGCATCAAGACCAGAAAAGATCAGATCTTGATTGATATCATGTTGTTGGTGGTGGGTAGTACAAGGGATCTGATGAGACGAACCATCGTTTTGGTCGAAAGGAAACATTAGAGAAAGATTTGAGGTTAAAGACGAAGAAGAAGAAATTGGTTTATTGTGGGTCTCTGTAATGGGTTAAACTAAGGGTGACTTGGTGGGATTCATTGGTTACACTTGCTGGTACTGTGGTTATTTCTGGGTTTGGTTTTGGTTTTGTTTGTTTGTTTTTTTCTTCAATTGGCTTCCGACAATCCTCATTACTCGGAAAAATAAAGTACAATAGTATGGGAGCACCAATTAGTGTTAGAGCATGATTGAGATTGCTTTTAAAGCTTCCTTTGGCGTTGGTTTTTTGAGCTAAATTAGTTACAAAAAATTAACAAAATAAAATGTTATATCTAATTTATAATTATTTTATTTTTTCTTTTATAAAAATTAAAAAAAATCAAAATAGTCAATTTAAATGAGCTTTTAGTTGAAGTTAAAAAGTAAAAAAAAAAATAACTCAAAAAATTATATGCCAAACGGCAGCTAGTACCAATCTAGTTGAAATTGCAAGGCTTACTATGAGTTTTATTAATAATTGTGTTAGTATTATTTTTTAAAAAAAAATTTACACTACTAATTTTTGTAATTTAAGTGAAATGTCATCTTAATCTTTGCTGCTATCAAAAAAAAAATATTACACTACTAGTTTTTGTAATTTAAACGAAATGTCACTTTAGTTCCCGTAATTATAATTTGAACCTATACTTTTTATGTTGTAATAACTCAAAAAATTATATGCCAAACGGCAGCTAGTACCAATCTAGTTGAAATTGCAAGGCTTACTATGAGTTTTATTAATAATTGTGTTAGTATTATTTTTTTAAAAAAAATTTACACTACTAATTTTTGTAATTTAAGTAAAATGTCATCTTAAGCTTTGCTGCTATCAAAAACAAAAAAAAATTACACTATTAGTTTTTGTAATTTAAGCGAAGTATCACTTTAGTTCCCGTAATTATAATTTGAACCTATACTTTTTATGTTGTAATGTGGTCCATTTGTTATGCGATGTTGGATTTGGGGTGGGTGCTGAGCCCGAGAAATTTTTTCTAATCATATTTTGATGATTCGAACCGTTATATTACAAAATTTGTTGAGCATATCATTCATATAAAAAAATAGGATTAATCGAACAAATATAACCCCATGATCAAGTCTTAATTATTTTTTTAAAAATTATCAAAATCATGTTAACCTTTATTTTTCTTAAACACAAAATCATGGGGTTAACCTTTAAAAATTATCAAAATCATGTTAACCTTTATTATCAAAATCATGTTATGAGTTAAAGATGTCTAATTACCCAAAAAAAATTTTATGGATGATCTACTCGACGAATCCTACACTGTGAACGGTTCAGATCATTCACCATCACAGGCTCACAACATAGTTTTGTGCCTAACCCCCAGTTCTGCGACGTTAATACTTTAAATGGAAAAATACCAGATGCAAATTTAGAAGGACCTAAATAGAATTCAAAATAAACTTTAAGAGCACATTCACTCGATACTTCAAATTTAATATGACACGCCAACGGTCATATTTTGACATCCAGTATCAATTTCATCCAGTGTATCAAAAGCTGATGTGGCTTTTGGCATCACCATTTATGCCAATTTTGACATGAAGACCTCATCATGTCTTTTTTTTTCTTTTCTTTTCTTTTCTTTTTTCTTCAATTAAAGCATCCAAAGAGTTTAAATTTTAAAAATAATATAATAACAAATTTGTCATATCAAATGAAGAGCCTTCTACATTAAATTGGCATATGCCAATTTACCACCTAAGCCTTCAAAAAAATTTGACATACCAAATTTTGAAGGTTTGGGTGAATATCCGTTAGTGTAGTTTATTTATTATATTGGTAGTCTCTAAAGTTTTCTTTCAAGTTTCACTTTAATTTTTCTAATTTTGTTTGTAATTTTTTTCCCATTCAAAATTCTAATAGCAAGTGACGGAAGTATCACATTGTAATAAAATTCAAAGTTTGGATTCAAATGGTTTAAATTAAAATTAAATTTTGTTTAAACTAAAGTACTATCAATATAATTTATCAATAAAAGAAAAGGGAAAAGAAAAGAAGGGGAGAAAGGAATGTGGGTTAGGGTTTTGAGATTGGGCCTAGGATTCCAAGATTCTCGGCAATCTCTTCATGGACAAGTTGAGAATGGAATTGACCACACTTGGCCCCTTTTAAAACTATTTTTATGGCCGCAATACTTCTTTTCATTTAATTAATATAGAAACCCCACCCATTCAGGTTCAGACCTGTACGAGAATTTTTATTAGCAGTGCTCCAATAATGCCACTTTATTTATTACTTGTTTACTGGACATCAGTTTTTAAATCCAGTTGTTAATTAGTTGCTTGGATGTACTTAAATGTGCAAGAAGCAAGATTTTAATTACCTACAGCTTAATTCTTCGTATTGTGAAATTAGACCGGTAGTTTCTATTAGAGGTGTGAGCAATGCCATTGAATGTGATTTGCGATTAAAATTATAAATTAAATTATGGATGGAAAATGAATAAATAATTAAATTGCGATTTGGATGATTTCAATTTGGTAGTTGGTTGAATAATAATCTTAAATAATTATTAAACATTTACATAATATATAATATTAATTTACATAATATTTATATATATATGTATGTAACATTAACTAATTTTATATAATATTTTTCATATATATATATATATATAGCACTTAACAAAATGCTAAAATTCACATCTTAAATTTCTTTCACACTGATTTTTATTTTAATATTTCATTAGAGATAAGAAAAAAACATATGTATTAATTATAGTGAAGTGGAACGGTTTGCAAGGCGAATTATAAATTTCAAATCACAATTCAAACTAACCAGCAGTTAGCGGGCAAATCGATGCAGATTGAGCAGTATTTGAACAACCTTAGTTTATATATGCTTTGTTTTATTGTGTCAATTTGGTCTTGACATTTCTAATTTGCTCAATTTTGATTATTAATTTTAGATTTGTTGTCAATTTAGTCTAATTGATAATATCTTTAGTGTTTTTGACAAAAAAGAATCACTCTATCGGTTGAGGTTAACTCAAATTGAGCAAATTGATAAGAGTAACTATACAAACAAAAATTTATACATAATGATTTGACTTCTTGCAAACATTTCACTTCAAAACAAAACACCATTAAAAATGAGTTTATTTACAATAATAACATTACCACATAATTTTTGTAAAGTTTTTGTATGAATTTTATGTATGAATAAAGTTTTCCAATTTGTAATTTTACTTATAAAAACATGACACTTATCACTTATGTTTGTGTTTTTATTAACAGAATGTTAATAATTATAATCAATTGGACTATCATGGTAATTCAAAGTCAAAATCACACTAATTAAAATTATAATTATCAAAATGACAAAAACTAAAATATAAGCACTATCATCATAATTTGTCCTATTTAAAATAATAGGCATTATAAGCTGATTCTTAAAAATATCAAATAAAAGGAAAAACAAGGAAAAAACTCTTTAAAAAGTTTGTGTTCTTGAACAAGTGAGTGCCAAGACTTGCAACGTTGTTTGCAGTAAAATAAGCGCTAAAACTATAAAGAAGTCAAATTTAATATTAGAAAGTCAAAAAAAATATGTTCAAACAAATGGTATTGAAAGCAAAAATGTCTAGCAAACTATTAAGCAAATCAATTATTTTCTATAATGAAAAAAAAAAGAAAAAAAAAAGAAAAAGAAGAAGAAGATCATTTGAAGGCTTAAACAATAATTCTACCCAAAATTTGCTCAAGTCACTACAAAGTTGTAAGTTAGACTTGTTAGACCATTTCCAATCAAACTTGGATCTTTTGCAAAGGGCCTGGCTTCCCTCCTGTCTCAAATTGGATTGAAGGGTGCTGTTGGATCCATGAGGGCTTGCTATGGGTCTTGTTTTGATAATTAAAACCGTTGAATGTGTAGAATTCGTTAAGTACTATATGCCTGTAAAAAATCACATCGATCAGATATCGATAGCTATGTGATCAAATCAATTTTGTATTAAAAAAAAATGAACGATGAAAAAATAAATGATTGATAAAAAAATTAATCCGATGAGATAACTATCGATGTCTGGTCAAAGTGATATTTTACAGACATATAGTACTTGATGAATTCTATACATTGAACGGTTCGGATAATTGAAATAGGACCTATAGTGGATCTTCACAAGTCTAACAGTACTCTCCAGTCAAATCGGACCGGAGGGAAACCACTGCCTTTTGCGAACCGGATAACATGGAACCAAATTCATAATTAATATTTTGTCATATGAGATTGTAATGATCAAATTACTCCAAGTATTAGATTAACCACTAGTTGGGTGTTAGGTATGTAGCCTTTTAGGTGGCCCCATTTTGAATTAACCACTATTTAATTCATTTAATTCATAATTCATAATCAAGACTATTTTAAATTTTTTTTTACTCATGTTCTTAAATTAGGACCTTTAAACAAACCAGAAAATGTTTCAGTCATGGTCACTAGTTTAACTATTGAATCAACCAAGATCAAATCAGAACCAAATCACGACATAATTAGATGTGGTTCAGGTTTTAAAACAATGATTTTGAGTATTCTTCATTTTCGGCACTTGTCATATCTTCTTTTTAAATCTTATTGTTCTTTACATATTTTTATTTCTCTTCTTTTTTTTTTTCCTTTTTTTTGTCAATTTCCTAAATTACATTGTACATATTTCAAGCCTTGAGAAATTAATCCGCATTTATTGTTCTTTGGTAGCAGGTAAAAATTTACTCTCGATTAATAAATTGTTGGGAAATGATGAGAAATTAATTTGCTTTCAACTAGCCACATCAGCAAAATGACAAGTAAAACAGTGGTGATTATGAATTAAAAAAATAGAAAGGTAAAATTTAAATTCTATACTTTTAATTTTGTTGCAAAGTGGTTCATCCATCACTCATTGATTTCAACGAAAATAGATCACATGTAAAACTAAAGAGATCACATTGTAATAAAATTAAAAAAATAAAATTTAAATTATCCAAATTAAAATTACGAAAAATAAAATAACATTTCACTTAGACTAAAGAGACTAACAATGAAATTTACCCAACAAAAAGTTAAAAACAGTTGTGTTTGTTGGGAGAACTCTTATTTTCCAATTTGACTTTTCACTGGTCGGCGCCTTTTGTTTTTTATCAAGATTTTCACGTCAATGAGTAACAC